TGTGCTTCTAAAGTCCAAGAAGCCAATGCACCTCATGGATTTCATTCATTTGTGGAAAGCCCACAAAGTTGAGTTACTTGGGGTTATATTACATCTCCAGCTCAATGGTGTGCCCCGACAGGCTGTTTTCTGCATGAGATCACCCTGGTGGGGCTCAAGTCCAGTGGGGAGGGGAGGAGACAGCCTTTAGGGAGGTTAAAGAAGTTTCTAGAAAAACCATAAGACCAATAAGGGAGAAAAAAGGCTCTCTGGATTTCTTTTGATTGAATTTCATTATGGATAGTGATGAGAAAAGTGCATCAGGGCAGACCAAGAGCAAACTCAAGTTAGAGATTTTCCTTCTCATCTGCTAAGAGGTTTCTGTCCTACAATTACAGTCTTATTAATTCAGCTAATTATATCTTGGGGGAATATATATATATATAAAGGCAATGAAGGTTATTTCCAGATTCTTTTTGATTGACAAGGAAGTTTCTAGCATGAGCAGATGAATCACTGTCAAGCTGGTGCTAATTGCTTTGATTAACAAAAACAAGGGCTGAGGAAGAATTTATGGCTCTGAGAATGTCATCTTGGTAAATCTTCTATTAATTCACCAGGAGCCAGCATTTAATCGTACAAATGGGAACAGGGGGGATGCTTGCACAAAGTTAGTTTGGAAAGGTTATCCTTGGGTCCCTTTTAATATAATCTCTAATTACTACAGTTGCCTAGGCAGAGTAGCACTGAGGGGTCTCCCAAAAGTATCTTCCTCAAATTGGAAAAAAAATTTGTGACTAGACTTTGCTAGCTAAATTAGGGGTACAACTGAGAAAAGAAGAAACAAATCATATAATACTCATTGGCTACATCTAGTATGTATATTAAGGTGCAGCTTAATTTTACAAGACTGGATCTAGAAATCCCCCTAGAGCCGTGATGGTGAACCTATGGGACGCGTGCCACAGCTGGCACAGAGCCCGCTCTGCGGGCACGCCAGCCATCGCCCCAGCTCAGGTCTGTGCATACACATGCGCCTCCTGCCAGCCAAGTGATTTTCGGGTCTCTGCCATGCATGCATGGGGGGGGGAGAATGGGGCACATGTACAGGGGTGCAGGCGGCTTTCCAGGCCCAACACTGGGCATGGCAGGGGGGGGCTCATGAAGGATCCCCATGCCGTTTTGGCTTCCAGGTTGATGCAGGCTTTCCAGGCTCCAAACAGGGCACGGGGGGGCCGCACCAACTTGGAAGTCAAAACGGCACCGGGAGGGGGGGCGCATGCACGGAGGGGGCGGGGTGCATGCGCGGGGACGCATACACATGCATGGGGGCAGGGCACATGTGTGGGAGGTGCTCGCATTGCATTTTGGGGTTCGGGCATGCACACTTTCATTTGTAGTGCATTTGGCACCAAAAGAGGTTAACCATCACCGTCCTAGAGTAACTGAGCTACCTTAAAGTAGATTTGAGAAGATGGGGGGGGGGGTCTATTTTTTCTTTAAACAATTTAGCTGAGTAATTTTGACTGCAATAAGTGGAAACAAGCCAACTTTATAAAGTATTAAGTTTATTTTTATCAATTATAGTTGATTAACACTCTTACACAGGTACCGAAGCTGATAAGATGAAACATAGCATCAGCATTGCATAGGGCAGTGATGGCTAACCTTTTCCGGACCGAGTGCCCAAAGCGTGCACCCGAACCACCAAAATGCAATTTGCACGTGGCCCCTGTGCATGTGCCCTGCACAGCAGAGACCCAAAGACCAGCTGGTTGGTGGGAGGTGTGCACGCATGCATGGCAGTGCTGAACTGGGGCAGTGGCTTGCATGCCCAGAGAGAGGGTGCTGCGTGCCACCTCTGGCACACATGCCAGAGGTTCGCCATCACGGCTCTGTGACATATAATACATATTCATTCAGAGCAGGAAAATAATTTTCAGTTTCTAACCTGTCAGAGTAGAGGTAGAGATTGATGGGATCCATTCCACCAACATAGGAGAAACGTCTGCCTGGACCTAAGGCCTCATTGCTTTCCCTTTAAAGGAAAAATGGGAGTGTGGGTAATGTAGTTCTTGAAAGTGATCCAATGAGGAAATGAATAGGAAGCCTAAAGGCTCCTCTTTTCCCAATCCATTGGATCAGCCACCAGCTGTTGTTAGGGTCATCTAAAAGCACAGTAAAGCGGAGGAAAGAAATTCTGAAGTTTGAGTGACAGGGTCTACAGTAGTTTTCTGGCTGGTGAGCAGCATCCTGATCAGGATAGGGACAGCTGAAGCAGATGGTTAACTCTAGTGTAAATTTACTCAAGATTAAGAGCATCTGCAACTGTAGCTGCCACATATGCTATGCTCAAATGCCTTTCAAAGGGAACTGCTGCTGGTATCTTATGACATTTGTGTTGTTGTACATTTGGAATCAATGCACTGTCTGCTTTTGCATGCTTTTTTCTGTAATAAACACAGCTGCTGAGAGTTTTCTGAACTTTGCAAATTGTGTATCATTCCACAGAACATTCCAAACCTCTGACAGTCAGGCCAAGGTTTTAAAAAGCTGGTCTTGAATTTCAAGACACTGCCTATGAAACTCCCATGGGCTTATCTGTTATAAATTCGAGATAACTTTTGAAGTGAATAGGGTATCTTTACTAGAATTGCTGTTGCAAAAATGCTAAAGTGAAAAGCACAAATAATCTATTTTGATTAAAAATTACTGATCCCCAAATCCCTTTAGTTTAATGACAAATAAGTAAATGGCTGCAGACTTTGAGCTAAACCAGTCCAAGTGTAAGTGATCCATTAACATTGGATCTTGTGCTTATTTTCTCCTCATTCCTCTCCCACTTCCCTTCAATGGTAAAATGTTCGGAAGAGTCTACTTCTGCACATGCCTGCTGAGACAATATCAGAGCCCCTCAAGTGGTTCCACCAAGATTTCAAGTAGATGCAGCTCCCTGGTTCTTCTCCAGAGTGTCTAGAGCAATTTAATAGCTTCCTGAAATATATCTCCAAAGCTTTCACAAAACCATAAACTTAAGAGCATAAAGGGTATATGGGCGACCATGCAAACTTGCACACAAGATTTTAATGACTTTTTTTCCCTTTGAGAACAATATAAAAATGCTATAGAATTACTTTGGGAAAAGAAAAAAACAACAAAGTACAGGGAAAGGCAACAATTAAACTCATAATTCAAAATGAAACATATGTCACCCATTTGAATAAATCCTTGGTTTTCGGAACGAATGTAGTCATATAATTATATAATTATAGTTATATAATTCTTTTAATAATTTTAAATTTTGTATTGGTATGTGTTTTAGTTCTGGCTGTGCACCACCCTGAGTCCACTAGGAGAAGGGCGGGATATAAATTGAATAAAATAAAATAAATAAATAAATAATATTTGCAGAAAAAAAGAAAGCCAGTTTGGCACCAAGCTTGAAACCAGGAGATGAGTTCTAGTCCCACTTTAGGCATGAAAGCCAGCTGAGTGACTTTGGACCAATTTCTCTCAGCCTAACTGATAAAAAATAATAAAGCAGGATAAAAATGGTAGGACAGATCCCCTTGCTTTCCTGCTTTAATGCCAAGTGGACCTGCGGCTGCCCTCTCCTGGCTGTTTTTCCTTTTCAGAGTATTAAAAAATAAAACCAATGATTTGACTGAAGATTTAGGAAGCTGACTCTCTAGTTGGATAGGATTGTGTGAAAGCAGATGATGTGTGATACCTATACAGTGGTACCTTGGTACTCAACTGCTTTTAAACTCATCAAATTTGGTACTTGGGGGTATTTTGAGGCAAAGAATTTGTTCCGATACTCATAGTTTATTTGGCACTCAATGCACACGCTAGAACTTGTTGAGGCTTCTGCCTTGTCACTCACTACATTATTCCTTGTGGGGAAAAAATTGTCTGGTACTCATTGGTTTTGGTACTCATTGGGCCTCCCAGAACTAATCAACGATAAGTACCAAGATACTACTGTATTAGGAATGAAGAGATGGTTTGATTTATTCAGTCTTCTCAGCCTATTGTCCCCAGGGGACGCTGTAGATCCACATCAACTTTCTCTTTGCAGTTGGAAAAGTGCAGCAGCTGCAAAAAGATTAATATATATATATATATATATAAATCTGCTATAGTTAAACAGAGCCGGAAATATTTGCTAAGACATTGGTCTTCTGATAAGGAGCTCACAATTAAAACAAGTCCATGTTATAAAATGATCTGAATTTTTAAGCATAACCCCCACTTCCAATAACGTTTTAGTTTTTGCAGGAGTAGCAAGTTAAGCAATTCTGCCATATGAAAAAGATGTGGAAAAGAGAAATTTAAATCATAAATTATGTTAGTAAGATACGCCCACCAGCAGAAAACGAAACCCACAATTTAAACTAGTGCTTCCCTAGACTTTTTCCTTCATTACCCAAAACCGCTTTCAGTCTCAATTTAGATATCCCGTTTGTGATTGGGCTTTTATGTTGTTATCCAAAGGCGGGGGGAGAGATCTCCTTTACTGTAAAGGAGAAATTACCAAATTTTGGGTAATTTGCCCAGCTTTGGGAAGCTCTTGATTTGATTAAATCCATCAAATTGCATAATTTCCGGTAGCGGTCTTTGCAGCGTCACCAGATAAAGGCTGGCGTATTCACAATGGTAACAACTCCCAGATTGCAGCTGAGATTTGGTGGCCCTAAAACAGACAGATAAAAAACTGCACTTGCACTCCCCCGCGCAAGCCAAAGCAACGGCTTTTATTTTCAGGGAACCTACAAAGATGCTCATCACGCAGAGACAACGAAGCAGATCACTACAGCCACGTCCCAGGATTAGCGCCCCCTTTCGCGAGGGGTGGAAGCACAGTGGGGGACGAAAACAGATCAGTGCTTTTTCATTGGCCGGCTACGGTGACAATAACCGTTTGTCCCGCCCTGCAAGTTGAGAGGGAACTTTCCCCCCCTCCTCCGTGCTTCCTTCGGCGTCGGTTGATTGGTTAGAATTTCTGTGAGACGCAGGCGCCGCCGCGGCCCTCGCGTTAACTGCGGAGGGGGGGAAATCGTCTCATTCGGCGTTCCGTTTGAAGAGGAAGAGGAGGCCTCGCCGCCGCCGCCGCCGCCAATAGAACAATGACGTTCAAGCGGAGCCGAGACCGTTTTTACAGTACTCGCTGCTGTGGTTGTTGTCATGTCCGCACCGGGACTATCATTTTGGGGACCTGGTATATGGTAAGAGTAATATAACAGGAGAGAGAGGAAGGGGAGGGGAAAAAAAAAAGAAAGATCGCTTGTGCTTTTTGCGCATGCGCGGGCGAAAATAGGGCTAAAGGGGGAGAAGAGTGGATTGAGGGGTGAGTCGCTGAACTGTGTTTCCTAGGGCGCATGCGCTTCCTCTTTGGGTTTTTTTTTGGGTTTTTTTGCGCGTATTCCGGGATTTTCAGAGAAATTCCAGAGTTTCTGTCAAGTTCTTACAAATGGAGGGAAGCGGGTTTCCTTAAAGTTGATGCTGAAGAATTCCTATGTCAAATTTCCAGTAACCTGTTAATCATCTTACAGTATTACATTCAGATGCTGCAATACTTCAGAGCAGGGTGGATTTGATTTAAATCGAGTTGATTTAAATCACAATTTAAATCATGATTTAAATCACTAGTAAAAAGGCTTGATTTAAATCAACTCGATTTAAATCATAATTTTTAAAGAGCAACTGTCATCTCTGCTACTCCTTTGACCCACTGTTGACTCACCGATAGTCCCAGTGTTGCAGAATATACAGCCTCATGCTACATAACTAAGCTCCATTTCATGCTGAATAAACTAAATTATTTATGTATCTTAAATAGAAAACTATCTTACGAAAGATTTTTACCCCAAAAGTTTTTTATTAAAATAAATTCGATTTAAATAAAAAAAATCCGATTTAAATAAAAAAATCTGATTTTTTTGATTTTTTAAAAAAAAATCATTGATTTTTATCCACCCTGCTTCAGAGAGAAGGGCATGGGATTGCAGACCTAATTGGACAGTGGCAGTAAAGTTTCAACTCTGTATGAACTTCCTCTCAAGAGAAGAGGGGAAAGGTGAATTGTGTGTGTGGCTTGCAGAGGGAGATGCAGCAAGAATTGTGTGTGTGTGTATGAAGAAAACACTTGAACTCCAGTATGCCATTTCTTGCTTCTTGAACCTCATTGATCACCAATTTTAGAGTATCTCTTGCCCCTATCTTAAAGCTGCTTGCTTTCAAGTGCTGGATGATATAAAGAGCTGTGATGAAAACTTCACGTAGTTCAATATTTGGTTTCCCAGTCAGGTTAACTAAATGCTTCTAGAAAACCTGTAGGCAGGAAGTGAACAGCCCTCCTCCTCTGTTGCTTCCCAACAATTCATATTTAGTGGCATGGCTATCTCTGAATCTTAATATCCCAGGTGGTTTTTAGTAGACGCTTACAAAAATTAGTTTGCCTCCTTTTTAACATTTTGCTTATGGCTCCTTGCCACTTCTTGCTGCAGAAATTACCTACCTCCATAGCAGGAGTGGTTTCTAAATTTTTTTACTACCAGTTCTGTGGGCGTGGCTTATTTTGTGGGCATGGCTTGATGGTAATGTGACAATTCTTTAGGATTTAGCAGAGGCACTGGTCTACCAGGCTTTTAACTGCTTGCAGAGTTGTACCGGTCTACTCATTTATTTTTGTAGGCCCCGGTCTACCCATTTATTTTTGCAGGCACCGGTCTACCACCAAACTGCCTTTTACCACTGATCAGCTGTAGGGCGGCCCTTTGAAGCCCCGCGGCAAGACTTTAAACAGTTTTTCCTTATAGCCCATCAGCTGGAACTCAGGAGGCAGCAATAGATTGGGGGTGGGGCCAAATAAAATATAAGAATAATGCGGGGGGGGGCAGAACCGGTTCAGTGACGTCATATCGTCACTGCTACCAGCTCAGCGGAACCGGGCCGAACTGGGAGGAACCCACCACTGCTCCATAGGAATATATTAAAAAGGGGGGAGGGGGCTTGTCTGTGGATTCTGTTGCTGGTTACTTGCATGGATGACCTTGTTCTGTTAATGAGTGGGAGGTCAGCTTTAATGAAAATATGTATAAACAGAATCCATACAGGCAGTTCTTGCTTACTAGTGGTAATTGAGACCAGGAATTCTTCCACTAAATACCATTGTAAGGCACAAGGTCACGTGACTGCATCGAATTATGGCATCAGTTCTGGCAGTCCCAGTAAATATTGTTAGGCAACATGTGGTCAGGATATCTTGCAGTCATGTGATTACTATTGGCGACCCCCTGCCTGCTTCGGTATTGACTTTGTAGTCCCAAGGATGCTTTTTCAAAAAGGAGCTGGACTTTGTTTTTCCTTGAAGTCATTTTGCTTCTCACCCAAGAAGCTTCTTCAAGTCTGACAGAACTGAAGAAACTTCTTGGGTGAGAAATGAAGGAAATTTTTCTTCAAGGAAAAACAAAGTTCAGTTGCCTTTTAAAAAAGCACCTTTGGGATAACCATGACCTGGATGACTGAGAATCTCCATAGATATTGACTTTGTATTGCTACCTATTAGGGTGTAGTTAACAATTAGGTTAATATTTAAGTATGTGCTTAGATGCTTTTTGTAAACAAAAATTAAGAGGCAAATAAAGAATAAAACGGTTTTTAAAATGGGCCTGAAATAAAGGAAAACATATTGGTAACATATTCACTAACTAATGTACTTCAGGACTGAAGTAGCAGCTCTAATTCTGATTTATGAAACTTTAGGTGGGAGCACTTGGCTGATCATATTTGGGCTCAGATGTTAACCAGATTCAGGCTTGCTTAATACTTGGATGAGAGATTATTGATAAATACAATATGGTAGGCTAGATTGGGAAGTTAAAAAAAAAAACAACTAGGCAGAAGACAGAGTTTAGTTGACAAAACTTCATGGATATTATTCATGATGTTACCATGAGTCAAGATTATGCATTGATTTTATTCCAGTTTATCTGAGGAAAAAATGCTTTTAAGCTTGCTTTTTAAAAAGTATATAGGGCATGAGAGAGATAAATGTAATTTTATAATGAATTTTAATGTAATTATACAGTTTATAATCATGATTTATACTTCTGTGAACACACAAGAACAGATTTATACTTCTGTGGACTGACGAACAGATTTACAGTTCTGGGAGGAGGTTTAATGAAAGGAAGTGGAGTCAATTTTCAATATAATTACTTTTCCTTCATAGGAACAATTTAGAAGCTTTGTATTGTTGATATGCAAGTTAGTGTTAGCCTGAATTCAGCTTAATACTTTGTGTTCCCTTTCCTTTAAGGGATTGGATTTTCATACTGACTGGGAGGAGCTATTTAGGCAGTGGAACAGTTCCCATGCAGTAGATTACCGAATTCCTTTTGTGTTTCTTTAGTTAGTATATCTGAAAGATAAAATAGTACTACAGCCCCTAACCATCTAATAATTCCTAAATGTTTAATCTATTGACTATTTCCTTTGAGATCCACACAGTCCTTGCTGCTCTTTTGAATTTAATGCAACAGAGACCAAGAGACCCTGGAAATTGGTGCTGCTTCAGAGATCTATCCTTCATCAGCTGTTCCATTTCAGCCCTATTGATAACAGAATCTGAAGAATCCTTGAAATAATTTTTAGACTAGAAGGAAAATAAAAAACTGATTTCAGCTCTATAGATTAAATAGATATGTAAAGAACTACCATATATTCTTTTAAAATTAGTAGTCTTATCCTGTCAGAGATGGATATTACTACGCCCAATATATTGAAGACATCTGATCTAAAATGAGTTATTTACCTGTAAAACTTTTGGTAAACTGATAGCTTCCCACAAGGATGAAATAGCTGTAGGACAGTTAAAAAAAGAATGAGAACAAAAGTTGACTTCAGTTTGGTGGTCAATTTTACATTGGGAGAAGAATTTTTATTGTCCAAATTTGAATCTGTGTAGGTAAAGCTTTGTATTCTGTTTAGGCAAGAATAAAATACTGATATTACCGGCGTGTGCCATTCTTGTAGATTACTAAATTAACTAAAGGTACATTTAATTGCTATGAATACAAACTTTAGATAACATACTGTCTAGAATTTCAATCCTGAACAATAGATATTTCCTGTTTATAGGAAAACGTGCAGTTCTAAAATACTGCAGTATCAAAAATTGTAAATATAATTAAATTTTAAAGCTTTTCTCTAAACTTTGTTTCAGAAAAACTTAGTCTGATTTTGTATTTAATATAGTTTGAATCACTGCAAATAAGGTTATACTAAATAGAAGTTTTGTAATATAAAATTTTTTATTTAGATTTCTTTTCCAATGTGGAGATTCAATGATTCTGTTATGTAATAGTGTTGGCTATAAAGATGTTTGCAGGTTTTATGTAACTGGTTTAATTACAGTTGTTTAAATGAATGTGTTAATACTTGATAATTATTGGGATTGTATTTCTTTAACAATTTTTGAACGTTTCCTGAAGACCTTTGCTTACAATCCTAATGTAATAAAATTCAGTGATAGTTATATAATAAACAAGGAAGAAAGAGAAAGAGCATTTCAAAGCTATTAGCCTTTCCCCTCAGGACAAAATAGTCCTTATTATATAGCCTTATAGTGGCAGCTGAAAAAATGGGAAAAAAATTAATCTATGATTTTCTGTTTTGATCTGGAAAGTTGTAATATCAAATGAGAGATGTGTCTCTGACAGGGTGGATAAAAATCAATGATTTTTTTTAAAAAAAAATCAAAAAAATGGTTTTTTTAAAATTTAAATTGGATTTTTTTGATTTAAATCAGATTTTTTTGATTTTTATCGAATTTATTTTAATAAAAAACTTTGGGGTAAAAATCTATCGTAAGATAGTTTTCTATTTAAGATACATAAATAATTTAGTTTATTCAGCATGGAATGGAGCTTAGTTATGTAGCATGAGGCTGTATATTCTGCAACACTGGGACTATCGGTGAGTCAACAGTGGGTCAAAGGAGTAGCAGAGATGACAGTTGCTCTTTAAAAATTATGATTTAAATCGAGTTGATTTAAATCAAGCCTTTTTACTAGTGATTTAAATCATGATTTAAATTGTGATTTAAATCAACTCGATTTAAATCAAATCCACCCTGGTCTCTGATGCATAAAATGTGGAGAAGAGTTCATTGATTGCTTGTAATACCTATCACATAATGCCATTCATGGGGCATTTTTGTTTTGTTTGTGTTACAGATTAAAATAAACTCTTTAAACTAAATAAATATAACAATCTTTATTAAATGATGTAAAAAAATCCTGTAGACTATTATAAAACCATGAGTCACGTCTTTATGTAATCGCTTTGCAATTATATGTTCTGAAAAATTTGGCTTTATCATCACAGTTGGTTTTCTGGAATATACTGTATTCTGTAGATGTGGCCTAAACTGTTGTTCCATGTTCCTTTGAGTTTTCTATGGAATATGTTTTTAAAAATTATCCATATTGACTTTTGAAAGCTTACCTTTAATTTTAAAATAATTGAAATTTACAGGCAGGGGGAGAAGCTAACATAGACAGAGGTTGTACCCACAGATGGGCAATGGGTTTTCTTATTTTTTTTTACCCTGTGTTTATTGAATGAAATTTTAGGTTTTTTTTAATTTTTAAAGTATATTTAGGATTATTGAGGGATTCCTCTTCAGTTTCCATGAATTTCTTTTTGCAGAATTGTAAATAATTGTGTTATTGATTTGCAGCAATTCCAGTCTGATCTTTGCCAATGCCACTGTGGAATTTAGGCACTAAATATTAATCACATTTCAGATATTTTTTAAAATATTTAATACAATATGATGTTATTTTAAATATACATGGCATGGTGATTTAAAATCTCAATAAATACCCTCTTCTAGGTGATCCCCAATAAGAAATCATTAGACCTTGTGGTTTTCATTGCTTGATTGAAATAGTAACAAAGAAAAGAAGTAGATTATCTTGACTTTTTAATGAGGAGGAACAGGTGAAAACAGGAAGAACACATGATCTGGAATAGAGACTTCCTGTCCTTTCCCATATTATACAGATAATACACATTAATATGTTGGAAGTTATCAGTCCTGATATTATCTTTTGTTGTTTTGGGTGTCTTTATTGTTTATATAAAAATCCAGCATTTAATTTATTGTTTATATAAAAATCCAGCAGCTGGATTTTGCTTTCCATTGCAGATGCCAGATCAGCCCTCTGCAAGCTTTCATCTCTCGAGCGCTCACTGAAGCGGCACAGGAAACTTCGGCCGGGCTCCTCGAGAGATGAGAGCTTGCAGGGGGCCGATCTGGCATCCGCAATGGAGAGAAAAATCTGGCTGCTCCCTGGACCAGTCGCCATTTACCGCTCCGAGTCCCAAGCAGCAGGAGACGAGGGCTCATTTGTGCCACCGGCTGGCGCAAATATACCAAGGCGGAATGCTGATGTTGTGCAAGTTCAAGTAGTGCTTCGCTCCCGCACTTCTTCCGGCCCTTGTTGGTGCTCTGCGCACCTCGGTCTCTCAGGGAGATGCTTGACTTCCTCTCAGCCCCAAGACACTGGCTGGTCCATGAGATGAGAGAGAGAAAGAGAATGAGAGAGAGAGAGAATAAGAGAAAGAGAGAGAGAGAGAGAATGAGAGAATGAGAGAATCAGAATGAGACAGAGAGAGAGATAAAGAGACATGGGAGAGAGGAGAGAGAGAGAGGGAGAGAGAGAGCCTGAGCCTGAAGGAACCCATCCCGTCACTGGAAGTCCAGGCGCTTCAACAAGCGGCGTGCTGGATTCGTATTAGTGGTCCACGGGATTTAAAATTATGAACTTGGTGGTCCCTGAGGTCCAAAAGGTTGGGGACCCCTGATTTAGCTGGCTTTGTGCCTAAGGCAGGATTAGAACTCTCCGTCTCCTAGTTTCTATCATGATCCCTTAACTGCTGCACCAGACAGCCTCTGAGTTGATACTGCCTTAGCCTTTTCTTCCTCCCTCCCTCCCTCCACCAGTTTGAATAAGCAAATCCACTAATATTTTTAGGCATGCTTGTTGCTTTGTCTTTGAAAGGTCTTGGAAATATGCCTGCAATAATGTCCTATTAATGTTTTTGCTTTGGAAATAAGGGTAATGTGAAAGCAACATACATTCCTTTCTACGAATAAGGTTTTCCCCCCCACCTTCAGCAAATGCTAAATTTACTCTGGTCTCTGAAAAAGAGCCTCTGTGCTTTCTACCCCAGTCTGTGTAGATATAGAAAAGTTAATACATGCATCATTTGATAATGCATGTATACTCTTGCAATCAATGGAATATTGAAGTTTGAACTATGCTATAAAAGGATATAGGTAGACTGGAATTCTGAACTATTTTAAACATTGAACTGTCTTATACTAGCAAGTTTGTTTTATTTATAAATATAAAGGATTTATATATATGTATATATCTTGCAGGTGGTGAATTTGTTGATGGGTATTTTACTGACAGTTGAAGTGACTCATCCCAATACTGTATCATCTGTAGATATCCAGTATGAGGTTATTGGAAACTATTATTCCTCTGAGAGGGTTGCTGGTAGGTATACGTTTTAAAGGAATAACATTTGAATATTTCAGGATGTATGTATCAGAAAAAAGTTCTTAAAATATTCCAGCAATTTTTACATTTCTGAGGTACAGAGATAAGAATGAAACATCTTGGTTTGTGGTTTGGCTTACTGGGAAAACCATAATTTGAGTTTGTCATTGAACCATTGCTTGGTAGTAGAAAATGTCATTTCCAATGCCTGATAAAAATGCAAAAATTGAAATAATTTCTACAATGCCAACTCCTATACAAATTAGAGATACAGGTGGTTCTCGTTTAATGACTATGTTCAATGACTTTTTGAAGTTATGATGGCACTGAATGAATGATAGTTATCACAGGTCCCTGAAGTGAAGGCCGTTGCAGCAAAAATCAATCTTTAACTACATCCCAATACCAGTGCACCAAATTCTTACCGTCTCTGGTTCTAATTCTAGTTCATTTAATTGCTGAATTAGATGTATCAGTCAGATATATTCCGCTAACATGTAGTGCAGGTGGTTTGTTTTAATTTGTTTTTATTGTTAAAGGAATTCTTAATATTTTTTCCCCCACCAGAAAACGCTTGTGTTCTCTTTGCCATCTCACTCCTCATGTTTACAATCAGTGCTATGTTGGTGTATGGAGCAATTACCGTAAGTTTTACTTGAATGATTCTAATTTCTCATCATTGATGGTTTTCTTTTTCTCTTCAAGAATAACACATTATTTTCATTTTGCATTTTTAGCATCGTGTCAGTTGGCTGATTCCATTCTTTTGTTACCAACTCTTTGACTTTGTTCTTGGCTGTCTCATGGCTATAAGTTCTCTGACTTATTTGCCAAGAATAAAAGAGTACCTGGATCAACTAGTAAGTGTCCATGACAACAATCTTAATCGAGGGATGGGAGGCAATGTAAGTGAATCATGCACAATTCATAAGCTTAGCAAAATCACATGAACTGGATGAGATAAAGGATATATGGCATTCTTAGTTCTTAATCCCAGTACATCTTACATTTTTAGAATTTCTTCTTTTTGAAACTGGCAAGGAGAATTAGTTGTCCTAACTCCAGGCTGGCAGATCCAGTCTGCACTCATTTAGAAAGTAGAGACCTCCAGAGCAAGCTTTTCTCTATACGGGTGACATCTATTCCTGGCAGAAATTACCAATTATGGTAGTAGATATGCACCCGTGGAATGTTCTACCAGTATGCCTGAGATTTCTGGGAAATATGAGGTCTTCAAAATGGAGGATCTTTTTTTTTGCTGTTGAAGAATGCATGTCTGCTGCATAATTAAAACTCTTTTAACAAAATGTCCACACTTAAGAAAACCTCTGTCTATATAAATTGTGTCTTGAAATCTGAGATGAATATCAGTTTCTTTAACTGATACAAACATTTTTGGATCCTCATATATAGTTCGTGGCCTCTGCTTCAATGCTACCGAAATCGCTGTTCTTCCCTTCCTCTTTCTAAAGGAGGTTGTGCCATATCGAGCTCTGTGACCTCAGTTAAATCTTCCTTCTGTGGTTTAAAGATAAGGATTTCTTGTAACAGTTGCAAGCTGTAAGGATAGTGTGCAAAAATGTTCCACTGACTCCATCTGCTTTGGTTTATAAAAAAAAATAGTGTGTTTTTTTTTAAACTAAACAATCAGTGTCTTTTGTTTTGGACTCACAGGTCTGGAGTAGGTTTTTCTGGATACCAAAAAACCTGATAGTGGAACTTGATCTGTTTGTAATAACTGTATTACTGTTTCTTTTTCTAGCCAGAATTCCCGTACAAAGATGACCTCCTTGCTCTTGATTCAAGCTGTCTTCTGTTCATTGTCCTATTGTTCTTTGTTTGGATCATTATTTTAAAGGTCAGTTTTTGGATACTTTAAAATGTACCTTTTAAGAGATATGAATTTCTCATTCATGTCTTAGTAATTAAAATTAAAGCATATGATCTGAGCTTCTTAGCTGTCATTCCTGTTATTTGTTTGAGTGATTCTTCCCTGTAGTTCTTTAACTGTAATGAGAGTTCAGTTATGATTGGTTAAATATTTCTGTTCCCTCTTATCACATATTTATTTTATTTATATGCACTGTTTTGTCTTTTGCATACACATTTTGCCAATGCTGGCATTCTTTTCAGCTAAACTGAAGGTATTAACATATATTCTGATATATTGGAGGATCTTGAACTATCACCAATTTAGAGGGGTGCTGTAGTTATAGCTGTAGCTGGCTTAGTTTATTAGAGAGCAATGCAACTGATTTGAATAGAAAAGTGTATTTAATATGTTGTCAAATAGTTATATATTTTGTGCTTCTGAAGGTGCTGTAATTCACAATTCTACTTTTATGGTATGTTCAGATAGTGTTCTTTTTTCCTCTTGCAGGCCTATCTAATTAATTGTGTCTGGAACTGTTATAAATACATTTGCAATAGAAATGTGCCTGAGATAGCTGTCTATCCAGCATTTGAAGCACCCCCACAGGTAAATGATTTATGAAATTAAACTAAGCTGATTTCTAATTTGAAGCACTAGGGCTGTGATTATGGATATGTGTTCCATCTTGTTACATCCATTTCTAATACACACTCAAAGAGTTGCATAGATGAGATGGGGACTCATACAAATTGAATGAATAAATAAATGCATTTATGCATTTTATGCATTTATCCTTTAATGGATATCCATTATCCATTAAAGCTACCGGTTGGATATTTTCACATAGACTTCCTTAGTTTGAATTCAATCTTGGGTGACTTGACATATTTAATTGGATATATATAAAGGCGGTTTACAGTTGTTGGGTTTTTTGACTTCCTAGTTTAGCATGTATCCCATGTATTTCCTAGTTGTCTTCTATCCAAGTCCTAATTAGGCCCAGTAACTTAGCATCTGCTCTTTATTTAGAGCTTTATTTACATACAAGTAACCAGAGCAGGATTATTAATTCAAATTTAGTAGAATGGTTCAGCCTGTAAGATGGCAGGTTAAAAGGTCTCAAACTACCTCTCCCAGAAATGTTGTGGATCTTCACATCTTGGTCTCCTGCTTTGGGGGAGCAGCTTGGTTCACACTGCTAGTATCTATCTTCTTCATCTAACATCCTCACTGCTAATAGCAATATGTCTGTGAGAGAGGATACTCATATGTTCTAACTATAAAAAGAATAAAAGTTCAAAAAGTGTAGTAATTTCAATCATATGACATAGTTTACATAGCTTAGCCTCTGTGTGACCAGAAGAATCAGTCTTTCTTTCCCTCCTTAGGAGATAGACCAATCTTGCTGCAGATAAACAACAACTTTAGTTTGAAATAAAGATGAAATATAAAGAACATTTAAAAACCTTTAAGTAGAAAAAAAAGATAAAGAGGATAAATTCTAGAGCAGTTCAGTGCTGCAAAACAGCTTCTTGAGAGAACCATATAAAAAGAAAAGCAGCAAACTAGGCAGAGCACAAGGTGTCAGAAGTCTGCTACAAATGGCTTGTCCTTTACCTCAAAATCTGGTAAAAAGATATTCATAGATATTTCAAATTCATATTAAAGTTTACAAGAAAATGGGATTATTTTCAGATGGATACAAAGCTGCAATTGCAAATACAGTTCCAAGGGTTTTTTTTTTCCCCAGAGAAAATAATAAATGAATTGGGAAACTTAACCCAAATTTCTGGGTCAACCTTTATCTATTTTTAATGAAACTGAAGAAGAAACAGTTTTCTGCTTCAAGATAACCCGGTTGCTCCTGCTTCTTGGGAGCTCCTGAATTGCTTTCCTCAGAAGCTCTTAGAGCAATGGAAGCACCTGTCCTTTATTCCGTCTTTTTTTCCCCACGTTCTCCAGTTTCCCCTGCTTTTAAAATGACCATGGTTTTTTTATATCTTCAGCAGAGGAAGGGCTGGAGTAATTAACTCTGCATGTGACGCAAAGGCATATCTCACTCAAGGGCGTATGTGTTCTGTCTAAGCCTGTAATCAGCATAGAGGGAGTGTGCTGTAAATGTTTGAGCTTGTTAATTGGCGAGGAAGCTACATTTGCTACAAGAGATAGACATCAAGGCATCTCTTTCAAAAAATGTTTAGAAGTGCAGTTGAAATATACATATACTGCAGAGGAATGCATTTCTTTGAAATTCACCAATGATATGAAGTTCTTTGCATTCCGTACAGTTTGAGAGCTATTTCAAATGTAATCTGTGCTTACCACTACTCAGATAAGACAATTGTTGACAATAGAAACCACTTGGGTTCTAACTCATAATGTGTATACCCTGTTTCCCTGAAAATAAGACATCCCCTGAAAATAATCCCTCCCCAAAAATACTTAAACGCAGAGCTGGAAATCGGGTAAGATGGCAAGAGGAGCCCCATCTTGCTCCACGTGCCCCAAAGTCCTCCCTGAAAATAAGGCCAAGCGCTTATTTCGGGGTTCAAAAAAAAAGACAGGGTCTTATTAACATGGTACATAAAACCACTGATTTGGAATAATGAAGCGGTTCATTCAGTAGTTTATTAGTTTCAATTTAATTTCTGGAGGCAATTTGCCACTGAGGAAAGACTTTTTATGAGATTTCATGAGAATGGTTTATTACTATTACGAATATTTTAGTTAATGGTATATTGTGTCTTAGAATGGTCAGGCAGTTAATAAAATAACTAACAATCTGTTTTTTCTCCTACAGTATGTTTTGCCATCTTATGAAATGGCAGTGAAAATGCCAGAAAAGGAACCGCCACCTCCTTACATTCCTGCCTGAAGCAGCTATGTTTCTAGCAAAATAACTGTATAGCTTCATTTTTTATATTGTAAGATTGCTTAAATATTCAGGGTTTTAGGAGCAACCATACGAGGTTAAGTGGCATTTGATAACCTTACTAAACATAATTCATAAGGGAGTGATTTTTCTCCTTCTTGCTAGCTTTAATTTTATTGATCTCCTTAAATCTCTTCAGTAATTCTTGCTGTGAGGCTTTATTTTGTAATTTCAGCTTCTGCATACAACTCCAATTCTATGGATTTGTAATTTCATTTTGCTTCAAGAAACACATTTATTAAGTTAAGCAAGTTCTGGATACTACACATTTAGAAAATCAAGCATCTTGCAAATATAGATTAGTTCTGAAGAACAATCATATCAATGGCAAGATTTTTTCTTTCTTTTTTTAGTGTGGGAAAATTAGTTCCTATGTGGTGCACTGTTGCATATATGTATTTACCTGAAACTTTTTGTGTTATATTAGTTTTTACTGTGTTATCCCTATGCCTTGAAACAATATTTTTTAAAGCCTGAAGTTGGAATTAATGGTTTGACACTTTTTGTCATATGATATGAATGCCAGAAAAGGACACTACTTTTGTCATTTGCTTGCTTCAAAACTGTATTTTCATCTTTGTTTATAAATGATGCTTTAATAAATCTTTAAGAAAATAATTTGAGGGACTGTTTATGGTATTTACTATAGTCATTTAGGTTAATTAGTTTTACATTTTTGTTGAAATAGTTCAGCAGAAGGCCTAACAGTTCAGTCAAGATCTGAAATACAATGATAAAACTTAGTGAACTGACTTTTCTTTTTTCTTCTTCCCCCAATTTCAGTTTAGTTAAACTGCAGTAACATTAACAATAATGGTGGCACTTTAAGAATAGATAAGAAGGTAACAAATCAAAACAGGCTAAATACCTATCAAATGCTGAAGCAGTATTGCTAAGGAACAATTATTCTCAGAAAATATTAAACAAGGAATTGCTCTTACATTATTAATGTTGCATCAAGGTTTTCAAGAAAAGACTGGACAGTTATTTGTCCAGATGGTTTGAGGATTCCTGCTATGGGTAGACAGTTTAGAAGACCTCCAAGATCCATTCCAACCCTATGGATCTATGGTTCTAGTCAGAGGTGGGTTTCAGCAAGTTCTGACTAGTTCTGAAGAACCGGTAGCGGAAATTTTGAGTAGTTTGGAGAACCGGTAAATAACATCTCTGACTGGCCCCGTCCCCATCTATTCTCTGCCTCCCGAGTCCCAGCTGATCAGGAGGAAATGGGGATTTTGCAGTAACCTTCCCCTGGAGTGGGGAGGGAATGAGATTTTACAGTATCCTTTCCCTGCCACGCTTACCAAGCCATGCCACGCCCACAGAACCGATAGTAATAAATTTTGAAACCCACCACTGGTTCTAGTTAAATATACTTTAACTAGATGTCATTATTACCCAGGAGGATAAACTAGAGATGGTTCTCACTTCAAGCTTTGGTTTGGTTGGATTGCTATTAAGAATTGGTACATTGGATTTTAAGGAAATCCACTGGAGTGCTTTGGCTCTTAATGCAACAAGTTTATTTATTTATTTATTATTTATTTATTTATTGGTTCGATTTATATGCCGCCCTTCTCCGGAGACTCAGGGCGGCTTACAATGTGTTAAGCAATAGCCTTCATACTTTTGTATATACCTGCTTAGTAGGGCTTTTGGCCCCCCCAAGCCGTGTTCTTTTTATACAAAGTCAGCTTATTGCCCCCACAATCTGGGTCCTCATTTTACCTACCTCGGAAAGATGGAAGGCTGAGTCAACCTTGAGCCTGGTGAGATTTGAACTTGCAGTAATTGCAGGCAGCTGGCAGCTAAGTGCTACTTAACAGCACTTTAGTCCACTGCGCCACCAAGTTGTTGATTTTGTATGTGTACATGTGTGCATACAGGTACAAATCTGTCAGTTAAATGACAATTATTTTTTTTATCAATTGAAGCCAGCTGGGTGATTTAGGGCCATTTACTTACCCCACAGAGTTGTTTTGGGGAAACTAGGAGGTGGGAGCAAAGGCCATTGTGTAATATTAGGAATTTTAAAATCTTTTTGACAAGAGGATAAAGGAAGGGTCAGGCATGTTTATAGACAAACATGTCACTGATGCTCAGTGATGGTTCTATAAGCCCAGGAAAACATGAACTACTACTTCCGTTATTTTCTATAGCTCGGAAGTCCAAGGATACATATATATTGGCCCATACTGACATACTTGGCAAAACATCTGTACTGCTTGGAAGTTTACTAAGACAAAGGAAGTAATGGGCATCAAAACAGTTTTCTCAATCTCTATAAAAATGGAAATTTGAATTCATTGACAAATACAGTTTGGTAAGTGAATTCTTGGTACACATGATTTCAGAGTTTTTTTTAAAAAAACTACTTTCACAAAAATGTGTCTTGTTTTTATCTGCACTATACATCAAATACAATGATTTCCAAAGTCATCGGCATGCTATGAAATAATATATTTTGGGAGATAATGACTACAATTGAAAATAGCATTCACACTCTTATGTGCAATTCCTGTATTACCTATCTTTGTGTTTTTGACATACAGATAGTTCTTGACTTACAACCATTCATTTAATGACCGTTGAAAGTTACAATGGCACTGAAAAAAGTGACTTAACTTTTTCAGATGACCATTGCAGCATCCCACGATCACGTGATCAAAATTCGGATGCTTGGCAACTGGTTCATATTTATGACAATTGCAGCATCCCAGGATCAAGTAATCACCTTTTGCGACCTTCTGAGAAGCAAAGTCAATGGGGAAGCCAGATTCACTTAATAATCATGTTACTAACTTAACTGCCGTGATTCACTTAACAACTATGAGTGGTCATAACTGTCACTTAGCAACATAAAATTTTGAGCTCAATTATCATAATTTGAGGACTATCTATATAGGTGATACGACATAGCTCCAGGTTTTGCCATGACACAACAATACCATCTCTTCAGTACAATTGTTTTCAATACTTGAGCACAAATGTTGGACCGATGGTTCTTGGGAACCCATGTTCAGCTAATGTTTATTTTCCAGACTCAGGGTAACAAATACAGAGCATTTTGCTTGACTGGACAAAATAACAGTTGCTCTTGCTTTCACATATCTTTATAGAAGCAGCCCTCAATGGTAATTGGGACTGGCTAGAATGGCACTAGGTGTCACAACGTCATGTGTCCACACAGATTTGTGACCGCAGTTGCAGCAACCCAGTAAATCACTGTTAGGTGAATCTCTTGCTGTGTCTCATGGTTACATGACCTGCTGGCTTTCCCATTAACTTTGCTTGTTAGAATATCGCAAATGGTTTTCATGTGACTATAGGATGCAATGCGAACGCAGTCCAGTTGCCAAACACCTAAATTGCAACCTCATGAATGCGGGGATGCTGCAATGGTCTTAACAAGAGCACGTTGTAAGTCCTCCTCATTCAGCACTGCTGTAACTTCGAAAGATTGCTGAAGGAGTGGTTGTTGAACTAGGACTTCACTGCTGGCTTCCAACAAGCAAAGTCAATCGGAAAGCCAGCAGGAGATTTCAAATGGTGATCTCATGACTGAGGGATGTTTTTGACTGCGCAGAAATTGCTAGCAATGGGAGCTTGGATTGCTGGAACTGCCATTGTAAGTTGTCATGGTCATATGATGTCACACATGATTGGAGATTCCAATCTCAGTTATCATTGGAAGTGAGGCCTACCTGTAATTGTAGAGGACTAATTTTTTAAAAAAAATACAACTCAATAAACCAGCATAATAATTTGAACTCAGTAAATTTGAATATCAAGAACAGATTTAAGATTTGTAAATGACCAGATGTCATCCCCTAATGCTCTGAATTGTCTATCTTTAGAGTCTTTTTAAACTTTATTGAAAACCCACTAATGAATAATAATCGCACTTATCAAACGGAAATCCTTAAGATTACATATTCCTGTATTTTTTGATATTGTAGGAAGAGAGCCATCTTAATTTACATTGGCAAAAAAGTCCGGTAGCACGTTTTTCAACTAATAAATGTTACTTAATTGTAATTTGTTGAATATTTTTGACTAATACCTTTACATCGATGTACCATAATGCAGTATATGGTAATTCCATTTTTTATTGTTAGCTGCCAAGTTCACTCTGACTGACCAAGTTCGTCTTGCACTCATATTTAAAAATGTGGGACTGTTTGTCTATAAAATTAAAACAACAAATTTTGGGGAAAAAATCTGTAATGAAAAGCTGTTCATGTCAATTGTGGTTCCCTTATAATATTTTTTCCAAGATTATACAAATTTAATTTTGAATATAAATACTAAATATGGATACCTAGTTTGTAAAATGTTTATCACATGTCTACACATGTAAATAGATAACGCTTGCATTAATTTTTTTCTTTGTGGGCTTTAGTTGATAAATAGTAGTACAGTATCAGGTTGAACTTGTTTAGACTTGGAAGTTATGTAGGTGGGAGTATCTCCAGGGAATTTTACAGCTGTAGACTAGGCTAAGAAGTCCAAAGATATCACCAAAGATAATGGCAAACAGCTCCTGAATTGCTGCCAAGAAATCTGCAAGGCTATGTTCAGGAAGTCACCAGGAATTGAACTGGACTGAAGAGAAACTTTATTTTGTGTGGTGTGGGTGTGTGAGTGAGACAGAGACAGAGACAGAGACAAAACAACAGATTTTTGCATGTTATATTTTTGTAAACTCAGAGTTAGGGTTAAGCATACAGGTAGTCCTTGATTTACGACCATAATTGAGCCCAAAATTTATGTGGTTAAGTGGGAAATTTGTTAAGTGAATTTTGCTCCCTTTTACGACCTTTCCTGCCACAGTGGTTAAGTGAATCACTACAGTTGTTAAAATTAGTAATGGTTAAGTGACTCTGGTTTCCCCATTGACTTGTCAGAAGGTCACAAAAGAGCATCGCAACCGTCGGGTCAGTTGCCAAGCATATGAATTTTGATCCCATGACCACGGGAATGCTATAGTGGTCATCGGTGTGAAAAACGGTCATAAGTCCCTTTTTCCGGGGCCGTGGTAACTTCGAACAGTCACTAAACGAACTGTTGTAAGTCGAGGACTATGTGCATTGCAAGTCATGCCTCATCTGCGAAGTATAGAATAGAATAGAATTCCTTATTGGCCAAGTGTGATTGGACATACAAGGAATTTGTCTTCGGTGCATAAGCTCTCTGTACATAAAAGCTATAAGTGATAAATCATGATCATAGTCATCATAAAAATACATTCATCAAATCATAAGATACAACACTTAGTGATAGTCATAGGATACTATAAAAGCAATCAACATAAATCATACTAGGAAACTAAAACAATGTAAATCGTAAACATACAAGCAACAAAGTTATAGTCATAAGTAGAAAAGGAGATGGGCAATAGGAAAGATGAGAAGAATGATAGTAATACAGCCTAAATAAATAATTTGACAGTGTTGTGGGAATTAGTTGTTTAGCAGAGTGATGGCATGGGGGGGGGGAACTGTCCTTATGTCTAGTTGTTCTGGTGTGCAGTGCCCTATAGTGTCGTTTTGAGGGTAGAAGTTGAAACAATTTATGTCCAGGATGTGAGGGGTCTGTAGATATGCATATAATCCTAGTATTTAAAAAAAAAAAAAAACACCTATTCGGGTATCCAATCTGTTCCATTTTTTTTCTCCTCAAATCACGGCAGCCCGTTATTGGTTTTCAGTTTTCCTCCACGCACAATAGCCCAGATGTATACAGGCTGTTGACCTCAAAGATACTTCGTGCTTGTGCTGAAGCACCCCCGTTATCTAAGCACCCGCCCGGCGCCTCGTCTGAACATCTCCAAGGCGACCTTTCCTCTGAATAAATCTATCAACCGGAGCTTGCGGGCGTCACGTGTCTTTCCCACGGTAGGCAGGGCTGCCCCGGCCAGGAAGAGAAGGCAGATTTCTATGTGTAGTCTCGCTTTTAGATTTGGGTAGGGACGGAAGCGGAGGCACAGGAACGGGCAAGCTGAGGGTGCATGGCGGGAGACTCGAGGGTCGAAAGCGCCGGGGACTTGCTAGCTGCAGCCCACCAGCACTTCGAAGCGCGGCAGCATGAGAGGGCGGAGGAGCTCTACAGCCGATACATCCATCACTGCGCATGCTCCGTCGTGAGGTGATTCCGTGCCGGGATAACACGCGGCTCTGGGATCCCAAGGCTGAGCCCGAGGGCGTGGGGGGGAGGGTGTGGGGCACGGGGAGGCGGTGGTGGTGTTTTTTTTTTTGCCGAGTTGCTTGTCGAGGAGTAATTGGTTGATTACAAGCCCCGGAATCGTTTTCGACTCCTAGCGACCCACGTAGATAGATCTCCATGGCGATCTATGGCCTTGACCTGTTCTTTCAGGTCTACCGACAGGGTTGCAATTCGTCGTTTTGAGTGCAATAATCGAGTCCACCCAGCTTGTGGGTGGTTCCTCTTCTTCGCTTCTTTCCTTCCGTCTTTCTCAGCATCTGAGCCTTTTCCAGACAGCTGGGTCTGAAGTAGGATAATTTGGAGCCTTGGTCCTTTTGCCAGAACGGCAGGGGCTTTCTATAGAAGAGAGCTGAGAAAGCCAAACAGCAATGTATGAAAAGATGGAATATGGATGAGCGAATAGGATAGGATAGGATAGGATAGGATAGGATAGGATAGGATAGGATTAGGATAGGATAGGATAGGATAGGATAGGATAGGGATAGGATAGATAGGATAGGATAGGATAGGATAGGATAGGATAGATAGGATAGGATAGGATAGGATAGGATAGGATAGGATAGATAGGATAGGATAGGATAGGATAGGATAGGATAGATAGAGGATAGGATAGGATAGGATAGGATAGGATAGGATAGGATAGGATAGAATAGAATAGAATAGAATAATAGAATTCTTTATTGGCCAAGTGTGATTGGACACACAAGGAATTTGTCTTTGGTGCATATGCTGTCAGTGTACATAAAAAGACAAGATACACTCGTCAAGAATCACAGGGCACAACACCCAGCGACAGTCATACAGTACAATAAGCAATCAAATCATACTAGGAAACAATATCAATATAAATCACAAGGATACAAGCAACAAAATTACAGACATGCAGTCACAAGTGTATTCTGAAACGGGAATCCTCAATTAGTGGAGATGGATGGAGATTTGGGGGGGAGGGCAGAACCAAACAGCAACCAGGTGCTGGATGTAACGCTTTTACCACAGGTGTGCCCGACCCTTAGGTTGCTTGTGACCTTGGCCAGCTAATAACGTGGTCCCACAAGATCGTCAACTTTTAACATTAAGTGATTTTATGAAACTATATCATATGTTTTATATGCAGCCCAAGATGATTCGTCTTCACTCACTGTGGCCCAGGCAAGCCAAAAGATTGAACATCCATGCTTTACAGTGTTTTACTAGCCACTGTCCCTCCGGTTGCATTCCCTCCATGGCCTCCTGGCTGGCTGAGAAATTGTAGGAAGCTTAGCTTGTGAGTGTAGGCTATCCCAAACGAGGAGTCCTATGGTAGCATCTTCTCAGAGAAACAAAATTTATTTTCTTGAGTGTTAACTTTAATAGCAGTAGCAATAGTGCTTAAACGTATATACCCCTTCATAGCGCTTTACAGTTTAAGCACTTTACAGAGTCAACATATTGCCCCCAACGATCTAGGTCCTCATTTTACCAAACTGGGAAGGATGGAAGGTTGAATCAACCTCGTGCCACTGAGAATCGAACTGCTGGCAGTCAGCGGAATTAGCCTGCAATACTGCATTCTAACCACTGCGCCATCACTTTCATACAAAGCTTTTTGGTAGGATAAAGAGTAGACTAGGTAATGGCAATGACTATAGGGACTTTGTTAATATCTGCACTTTTTGCATTTCACACAACCAAAACTCAATTTTATCCCAAGCATGTTCATATTATTCTGCACAACCTAGGATTTCTAATTTAGAGGCTGCCTTGCAAACCCAAATCCTACTAAGAGTTGCATTAATTGTGCTGAGGTGTCCCTGATAAATTATTTGATTTTATCTCAAGGGACATTTCATATTATACTATGCTTTCTATGGTAATGCAAAAATTTGTAAATGAAATTACAGGTAGTTGTTGACTTAAAATCACAATTGAGCCCAACATTTCTGTTGCTAAGCAATACAGTTGCTAAGTGAGTTTTGCTCCATTTTGTGATTTTTCTTGCCACAGTTAAATGAATCACTGCAGTTGCAAAGTTAGTAAATTAAGTGAATCTGGCTTCCCCATTGACTTTGCTTGTCAGAAGTTCGCAAAAGATGCTCGTATGACCCTGGGACACTGCAACTGTCATAAATATGTGCCAGTTCCAAGTGTCCAAGTTTTGATCACCTGACTGTGGGAATGCTGCAATGGTCATGTGAAAAACAGTTACAAGTCACTTTTTTTCAATGCTTTACTAACTTTGTACAGTCACTAAACAAATGTTGTACAGTAGGTCAAAGACTACCAGTATAATAATCTTTTTTCTTTTTCATTTAAGCAAACATCTTTGCCATGATCTGGCAACAGCACTTAACAACAGAGGACAAATTAAATATTTCAGAGTTGAATTCTATGAAGCTATGGATGATTATACATCAGCTATACAAGCACAGCCAGATTTTGAAATCCCTTATTATAACAGAGGATTAATATTCTATAGGCTAGGTATGTTCATAGACTTTTCTTCAATATTAAGTGTCACATTATTATAATTGCTTTGTAATTGCTTTGACTATTTTCTCTTTAATAGAACTTTGTAAATATATTCCTTTCAGGAAACCTATTTCATTTTTTGAGAGATCCAGGTTAAGATTATGGGGAAGTTCTTGAGAAATTGTTCATATGTGTTTTATTTATGGTATATATTAAACATTTAGATAATGCTTCCCATAAAATACCTCACAGTTTGCAATGTACATAAAAGTAACAAAAACTTTAAGTTAAAACCATTAATATAAAATACATGTTCATTAAAAGCAGATGGAAGAGAGAAAAACAGCTTTTCTCTCATATTCATACTGGAAAGGCCTGCGTGAAAATACAGGTTTTCAGGAGTGCATAATTATTGGGGATGGGAGAGCAGCATTTCAAAAGGAGGTGGTTCATCTGTCCATAGTCCATGATGATAATTTGGAAATAGTGATACTGTTGTTGGTATTCCCTAGATGATTTTAATCATAATATAGATTAATAACACTGAAGTGATCTATATTACTGTAGATATCCATTGTCTTCAAGCTTAATGTTTGAGTTGTGTGAATGCACATTGATACTGACCAAATCCATCCTTTTAGAAATCCTATTGCCATTACTTGTCCTTTCCTTAAATATCAGAGTTCCATAGAATATAGTAACGTTAGTAGCAAAACTTGCATAGCATCATGTGATTGTTTATAAAGGAGGGGGGAATGTGCCCTCTATTTTTATGGAGATGCTTTATTGAAATAAACTTAATGCAATGTTTTTGTCCAAAAACATAAAAGCCCAAGGTCTAAGAGAGTGTTTGCAAAATGAGAAATTATAGCAATAAATTTAAAAATAAATGAAGGATAGAAATTTCCTAATGAAAAGATTTACTATTAAATATTTACTATTATACTGCAATCATGTTTAACATTTACTTCCTTCTCTTTCATAAGTACAATATTATATAGAAATTGCAATTAGCCTAACCCTAAAATTCGTATTTCATGTTCATTCCATGTCATCATGGAATCTCCTTAGATTTTAGATGTGTTAGAGGAATTGTTGCTTGGCAAACAAGTTCATGACGAGCAAAGGAATTAGTTATCTGTATTACAGGAAAGTTGTATACAAGTTGGTGAGCAGATAAGTACTGCTTTGGAAATAAAAACACTACTATGTTAGAAAAATAACAGATGTCTATAAGAATTTGTATTTATTTATTCTTTGACTTTGCACATATAAAACTTCTTCCATGCATGGACAGTCATGAAGAGATTAAGATAATAATCTATGTTAAAAGAAATGTGAAATGTAGATTTCACAATTCTTTTAAGTGTTAGAAAAGTATATACACCTTCAATAATCTGATCCATTTTTCAGGAAAATTGCTGGAGACAAAAAAATCAGGATTTACCTGATTTTTTTTGCTATGTTTAATCAGAAATTGTGCTCTGCTCAATGGATCTTTTTAGTAAATCTAAAGTGTGTTAGCCTGAATAATTTAATAAAACAGTTTGTTTTATTCTTTTTATATATAAAATAACATAAAATCATCCCTTGTTTCCCTTTCATGTGCAGGATTCTTTGATGAAGCCTTGAAGGATTTCAGGAAGGTGTTAGAACTAAATCCTAAATTTGAAGATGCGTCTTTGAGTTTAAGGCAGACTCTCCTTGACAAAGAAAACAAGTTAAGAAGAGGTTATTGAAGTCCAGTGTATAGAAGAAACAGGTTGTGAGACTGGAATATTTGGTAAAGATGTAAATTTCCTGGAGGGTGGGGTAAGGGTGTTACTTCTCAGTTTTGAATAGATCAATTTCCGTGCAAAGTAATCCTTAAAATATCAAACACTTGGCATGACTATTTACAGCACATCAATTACATGAAGATTTATTTTATTCTGTAAAGTAGTTTGGCCCCATGTATACTGGCAAGGTATATAAAAGAAATTTCCTTGATAACCAGCTACCTCATTAGAATAATATTACACTGCATTAATAAGCAATATCCAAGATATGAATTAGTGCAGAACTTCTACATATTAACATTGGTGATTCCCCATAATGCCTAGTAATATTGATTGGTTTCAAAAATATATTACTTTAATAAGCAAATAGATTTGTTACACAATATATCAAGCTTTGGTTATTTCTGCTCTCACAGAACACCAATTACAGATTGGTATTCTCATTGTGTTCTCATTACTGAAATTAGGCTGAGAGATGATGGATTATGTAATATGTGCACACCCAACTCTAAATGTGAGGTCTTATATCTAGTGCAATGAAATATATTTATTTGTGTAATCCCAATACTTCCATTAAAAATTAAACTCTTTTTTTACCTTGTAATAGCAGATTTTAAATCCCAAATATGACTGACTCAAAAATTTGTATCTTCTGTTTTTAATTCATGAAGATTTTATTAATAAGAAGTTAGCATGAAACATATTTTAACAATCCCAAGTAAAGCTGACCATGGTAACTGCATGGTTATACCTGTAGGAAAGAAAAAAAAAATATATAGTTAAGTTCATTATAGATGCCAGTGCTTGTAAGGTAAATAAATGGATGCCCTATACATTTGTCCTTGTGCAAGTTTTATTCTCCCAAACTCAGTGATTAATGTATGGCTATACAGATTGCTTAATCAACAGTTCGCAACTCTTAGCTCAGACTTTGTTTCAAGATAAGTACTGACCTTCAAATGCTGCTTGTAATAAGGAAGGTTCTTCCACATCAGTAAGAGTTGCACAGAATGCCAAATCATTCAGGAATGGCCTTTGACTAGGTTACTCCCTGAAACCTCATTCTCTGGTACTCCAAATTAAAGCATGGGATACCAAAGGGATTACAATTCCAGGCCATTCTCCTGTGAAGTTTAGTCCTTCATTTGATAAGCATTTAAATAGATTCTTTAAGTTGTTCTTGAATGAATCCTTTGACTGAATAATAGTTCACTGAACAGAAGAGGAAATAGCAGCTTGATCTTGTATTAAAAGGGATTTGCTTATGTCACTGTCTTTATGTGGGACACTATTAAGGCATTTCCTAACCTAAAATCTTATTATTGCATTGCTTCATATAAAAAGAAACAATAATTGACAAGTTATATTTGTAGAGGAGAAAATTGAATATTTTTATGCACTATCATTTCCTCACTGACATTATTCTGTGGATTCTATTAAATATGTACTTAATATTTGAAGTTTCCAACACTAATTTTAAAAAAAAACCCTATAGAAAACAATTATATATTGTACATAATATAGTGTGAAATATATTTTAACACTCTCAAATACCTATTACACATTACTGTAAGGAAATGATACTGGGAAATACAAAAATGATATAATAGCAATTTTTCACAAACCAAAGATGGGTTTAAGACAAAGGGAGTTATACTAAATTTATCGATAGGTTAGGTTACTAATTTTATATAATTTTTATTGCTTGATGAAATTGTTGCCTTATAAAAGCAAGGAAGACACCTAACCCTGATGATTTTTAGTGGATTGGGGAAAAAATACCTGGTTTTTTAATCTCTTGCTTTACTAGAGGTATATAGTAAAACTGATCAGATAAATCCTTTCCTTTTGATCTTAATTTAATTTAGTCTAGTTTTAACGGGGCAATATTGCACTTATTCCTGAATAGGATAAGGATTGCTAATTATTTTACCTATTTCCTTCAAAAACGTGGAAGCTCTGATTTTAAAAGTTACTTTGGCCATAGATTTTAGGATGTTCTTCCATCTAAGAATTTTGTGTTTTCTGACAATATCTGATTTTCAACTGATGTTATTGTTCAAACTGAGAATGTATCAATTTTCATTTCTTGGGACACAGGGTAAAACTGCAATATGATTTCTTGAAAGTGTTTGAGGTGGGATTGTGACATATTTTGGATTCCCTTCAAATTGTTAATTTTGTACTGATTTATTCAGCCCCTAAATCATGGTTTATTATTGATGCCTCTCAGGAATAACATTGCCCCACAGTTATGTGTAGAATTAAGAATATTTAAATATATATATGATCACTGCAATATTATTCTACACAATTACATCAATGATGATAGTCTCGTCCAGCAATCTTGATTCCACTAGCATTCACCTCAATTTTTATAATTATTTTCAGCCCTGAAACCTACCTTATTTCTTGTGATGTCAAACTCTTCAAATTGCTCAGGCTGAAGGATAAAGACTGGTCCAGTTACTACATAACCATGATGGTTAGGGTAAATTTCAGAATACTGATCTAAAACATTGTAAGAAGTATTGGTTAAGTATCCATTGAATAAACAGGTACCAAATAGGAACTTTCAATATGCAATGAACTCACTATGTATTAGTAACCACTCTATTAATGGGTGGCATCTCTCCAACTTTCATTGGAAAACTTACCAATTATTGTTCCAGGAGGGCATAGTTTACAGGGAAGTCCGCTACTAGGCACATGGAGGCAAGTGCCAATTGTTGCTGTGCAGTGCAAATATATCTAAATAAGGATTAAAAAGATATATAAGGAACAGAAGTCAGAAGTCTGACTTTGTCAGAAGTCCTATAATATTATGAGAATAAATCCCAAAATTTAGCAAGCTGAACTCCAGTCTCTCTTAACATTCTGTGTAACTGACACGTTAAGAAATACCTTCAAGATGAAAAGTTAGAATAGCTTGGATTTTAACCTCATTTTCCTCTAAATCTATAGAGTAGCAATGGATGAAATGCCAGCATTTTACCACTTAAAAGCAAAAGAGATGGTGACATCCTTTAGCACATAGATGATCAGAGGAAGATATTATAGTTAGACATTTGCATATGGTGTTAAACTAGGATTTAGTATTTGGCTTCAGTTGTATGAATCTATAGTGATCTTTTTTAAAAAAAATAGGTCTAACTTCATCATTTTCACTGTTTTAATTGAACATTAGTAATTTATTTGCACCATAGATAATCATTTCCACTTGTTTTTATTAACATTTAAGATTGCTTAGTGTCTATAAAAGGAAGCAGTTTGATTTCTTCCATAGATACTTTAACATAATGACCACTGCAAACTGATTCATGTGATTTGGTCTGTGTTTTATACAGTTAGATCAGTAGTACCTGTTGTGTATGTAGATTTTGGCCAGGCAGTTTGAATTAACTGACCATCAGCTGATTGGCTGACCACCACAGCTGCAAGGTATATAAAGGGAGCTGTTTCCCCCTGTCAGTCGCTGGGTTCTCACCCTACAATAAAGAGCTGTTGTCACTCAATGCCTGGCTTGCTGAGTCCTCATTCACCCAACTTAACATTGGCGACGAAGGTGGGATTTTGAGGCCAGAAGCCACGGAAAGAGCTGAAGCCACGAGCCGACAAGAGAGCTGCAAACCCGAATCCAGCCAGGCGAGCGAGCGGAGTACTTGGAGAATCTACCAATGATGTCTGCCTACATACCACAAGCGCCTTTCAATCCCGCGGAATAGAAGGGGGGATCCTACATGTCCCGCTTTGAATGCTTCCTGGTGGCCAGTGACCTACAGGGGCTACCTGACGTACAGAAGAAGGCCCTGTTCCTGAGCCATTGTGGACCCAAGGTGTTCGATATGGCCGAGGCCCTGTCGGAACTGAACTCGGTTCACACCATCTCATGGCAAACGCTTCAGATACTGCTGAAGGACCACTATGCCCCAATGCCATCGAAGTACGTGCAGCATTTCAAATCCGGCAATGGCTGCAACACGAGGGAGAATCGATCAGCGAGTATGTTGCTGCCCTCTGCAAGGCTGCAAACCAGTGTGAGTACCAAGACCTCGATGAGATGCTGCTAGAGCAACTAATCTGCGGAGTGAGAGATATTCGCTTACAGAGAAGGTTGCTCGCGAAGACAAATCTCACGCTACACATCACACTGGACGAGGCGAGGGCTCACGAATCTTCCTCCAAGGCAGCCGAGAGACTACAAGGGTCGGCGCAGAGCAGAACAGCACAGAAGTCGGCCCCGGTTCACCAGGAAACCGTAGGCACGGGGAGCGAGGAAGAGTCGGACAAGGAGATCTGCTGGACTGAACAGGACCGGCAGGACCGGCGAGGCCATCGAGATGCCTGTGCCAGTTGTGGGGGACCCCATCCATGCCAGACCTGCAAGTTCCGGGACATAATTTGCCGGCAATGCGAGTGGAAGTGGCACATCGCTAGAGCCTGCAGAGCCAAGCAGAACCCCCAGCACAAGCCACGGAGCAACGCTAGCCAATCAGAGACGGCGCAGTGGACGAGAACCAATCCGAAGGGCAGCTACAGGAAGAGCGCGAAATCCGAGGATCTCGAGGCCTGCACCATTCGAATTGGCCGGACCTGCAAACCCGGGGAGAAGACCTACCTGACGGTCGACATCGAGGGGCATGAGTGCGTAATGGAGATCGACACCGGATCCCCAATTACCATCATGTCCTGGAACAAGCTGAAGAAGGCCGTCCCTAGCATCCAGGGACGGCAACTATGGCACCAGCGGCTGGGACTGCGCGATTACCAGGGGAACCGCATCCCCGTGGAAGGAATCGGCGAGTTCCAGGTGGAGTACGGGGAATTCCGGGAGAAGCTTCCCCTCACCGTGGTCAGCGGAAAGCTCCCAAGCCTCCTGGGCATGGACTGGTTCAGAGCCCTGGGCATGGGATTCACCGGAGTCCGCAACATGCAAAGCACCCTGAAGGACGACCTGATGCAGGAGTTCCAGGACGTGTTCGATGAGCGGCTCGGCAAGTATGTA